CTTTGCAATGCCAGAGGAGAGCAAGGACTGCAGCCTCTCTCCCTTCCTTGGAAATGGTTAATTTGCACTAAAGCAACTCTCACTTGAGCAGGCCCAGGAGAGAGTCTGGCACCCACACCGCCCCCAAGCCATGCCTGCGTCTGCTTTCTGCCGTACTCCTCTGTACCCGAGGCTGTGCTCTCTCTGGAGGGTCTGCCATGTGGGTTCCTGTACACAGCATCTGCCTCTGCAGGACCCAAAGGGCAGGAGCAGGAGCACACCAGGGAGGGAATGCAGATTCACTGGGTGGGCACACCTGGCACAGTGGAGCCGAGCACACCAGACAGGTCATCATTTGCTGTTTAAAATACATTCGTGTTTCTTTCTTGATTAGACTTTTAAAGAGTCAATTATTGATTTGTGAGTCTTAGAAAATAATTAGTATCTGCTAAAGCTTTTGAACATGATGTTAGTCAATACACCAGTCATCTTTCACGCAGAATTTATATCAATCACCATTCATTCATTCATTCCACAAATACACCAGCACGGGAACAGGGCGAGCAGCCCTTTGGGTAGCTGGCCCCGTTGCTGAGGGAGGCAGCAGGGCCTAGGGAGCGGCCAGGGAACGGGAGGTGGGCCCAGGGGCTGGCGTGGGACTTCCACGTGGTACCAGGGAGAGGCCCATCCCCCCTCCACCAGCGGCACAGGAGGCAGATGGTTCACGTCACTGTGCTTGTGTGTTGGAATCGAAACACCTTTTGTTCGAGGAGCAAAAGCGTCAGCACCCATTGGGGGTTGAGCTGTGCTGGCTGCAGCGTGCAGTGGGGCAGCCTCCTTTCTGCCTCCCATCTTCCCGTCCTGGTTCTTCCCAGGGCCCCTCAGCTGGGCCTCGCCCAGGCAGCCTCCAGGCCACCCTCCAGGCAGCCAGAGAGACCCTGCAGTCCCTTGCTCATCACTGTCCCCCAGGGTTAACTTCGTGCTGCTCCACGCTGGCTCTCTGCTCTGCCCGGCTCAGCATGTCTTGTCCTGTCATGGAAGCTCTCCCTTACTCCCCGGAGGCCAGTTAACTTCTGTTTCTCCCTCAGTTCTCAGCCAGCCTTTATTGTCTCAGGAAAAAAAAGCTGGAGGAAAAATGTCTTGGTGCTCATAATGCAGAAACTTCATTCATGAGGATTGCCTCATTTGTCAGCATAAAATATGGCAAGGTTAGCAACATTGCTGCCTCAAATTCTGGGCTCAAGCCATCCTCTGGAATAGCTGGGACCAGAGGTGCGTGCTATCCTGCCCAGCTAATTTTTAATTTATTTTCATTTTCTGTGGAGATAGGGTCTCGCTATGTTGCCCAGGCTGGTCTCAAACTCTTGGCCTCAAGTGATCGTCCAGCCTGCATGATCTTATTTTTTAAGTAGGTAGTATGTGCCCATGCACTGGAATGTACACAGAATAGAATCGGCACCCAAGGCTGTTTCTGACGCAGGGCGTGCCACCGGGCCGACCAGCCAGCTCTGGTCTTCCATCTCCCAGCACCGGGCAGGAGGTCCTACAACTTCACTGTGGCTGATGAACGAAGTGCACTCCAGCAGCAGTAGCTGGCTCTGGGCATTTATACTTTATGTTTTGATCAGTATCATCAGAGGGGTTGATCTGCGTTTGCTCCTCCCAGCAGTGCAGAAGGTGCCTCTTGGCTCAGACTTCGCTGCCATTGTGATCTTGGTCAGGAGGATGGCTACAAACAGCCTGAGGCTTAGGCTCATGGCTGGTGTTCTGTGACGAGGCCGGTGCACCTACGAGTGTCCAGGGGCCTCCTCCTACTTGGTGGCCGCCTGTACCCTTCTGTTTTCCTTTTGGCTTGTTGATGGTTTTCTTGGCGTGTAGGTGCTCTAATGTAGAAGGGGGAGCCCGCCCGCCACCTGTGTGACGTGTTGCCAGTGCCCCACAGTTTCCTATCTGGGGACTTGGCTTATGGTGCTTTTCCCTATCGAGATTTGCGCCTCTGTGCCGTACACCGTATCAGTGTTGCCTTCGTGGCTCTGGGCTTCGTGTCTTCCTTCCGGAGGCTTTCCTCACTTCAATGTTTTAAAAAATTATCCCCCATTTTCTTCTGGTATTTCTATGATTTGCACTTAAATCTTTGATTCATTGGGATTTGTTTCAGTGTGTGCTGGAAGGAAGAGATCCAACTAGATAGTTTTTCAGAGGTCATCTTCCCTGCGCACCCCACCCACTACCCTGATTGTGACTTAGACACTCAGGGTCTGTTTCTGTACTCTGTTGTTTCCGGAGGGTGATACCGATGCTGTCCCTTGTGAATTCGGGATCGTGTTCTGTGCTCTGGTGTTAGGCCCGCCTGGCCCTGCGTGTTCAGGATTGTGGTCTGTGTGTGTTATCGTGTTAGGCCCGCCTGGCCCTACGTGTTCAGGATTGTGGTCTGTGTGTGTTATCGTGTTAGGCCTGCCTGGCCCTGCGTGTTCAGGATTGTGGTCTGTGTGTGTTACCGTGTTAGGCCCGCCTGGCCCTACGTGTTCAGGATTGTGGTCTGTGTGTGCTCTCGTGTTAGGTTGGCCTGGCCTGGCGTCTTGCTCATCTCGTTTGTTCCCCTCGTTTCCTGCATAACTTTCCGCAGGAGCTTTCACACTCCACTTGTGTGGTTCTAACAAGACACCCATAGGCAAGTGTCGGCGTGGTATGTCCGTTTAGGGAGAATTCCTGCCTGTGATGTTTTGCTCCTCAGTTCCCTGGTGACAGGATACTAGGCAAGCACAAAGAGTTGGCCCCCTCCCAGGACCCCTGCCCCAGAGAGAGTGAGTGTGCAAGTGAGTGTATGCCTGAGAGTTTCACACCTGGCTTACGTGCAGAATGGGGCACTTGCCACATGGGGAAGTCTTGGATGTTGGGATTCTTTAAGCAAGGCATTTCCAGACAGTTCTGTCGACATGGTGGCAGAGGTGCTGGGTGCAGAGGGAGCCTCACATGGCCCCTGTCCTTGTGTCCTTGGCCCCAGGGCTCCTGGCTTGGCCGCCCTGTCCTGAATGTGAGTGCCAGTACGCATCCTCTCGTCGTGCGTGCCGCCCCTTCCACCGCAGCTTGGAGTCAGGGCTTCCAGGTGAGCCCCAGTTCCCCCGAAGCTCAGAGTCAGGGCTTCCGGGTGAGCCCCAGCTGCAGGCCTGTGGGTCTTCAGTGCATGCTGGCTGCCACTGCGATCACACATGTGATCTCACAAATAGCAGATCAACAGCATGGTCGATTCAAGGAAACGTTAACACTGTGTGTTTCCGATCCTATCCGAGAACTTCCTTTCAGTCTTCTTTTAATTTTTTTCTATAGCAGTTTAAATTATTTGATTATTCTTTAACATTTTCTTTTTTAATCTAAATGCTCTTTGCACTTTGAATGACTCCTGCCGAGTGTAGCCTCTGGCTGCCATGCTGACCATGAGGGACACTGTTGGATCAAATCCCTGGTTTTGTCTCCTGGGCCCTAGGGCTCCACTTTTCTCTGGTTTAGCGGGGCCCACACTGTGGCCTCCTTGGAAGCCTCTGGCCAGGCCTCTGCCTGTCGCCTAGCGCACATCTGCACACTGGGCTGAATCCATAAGGTTTAGTGTCACTTCTGCCCCTGAGAGGAGTCGATGCTGCGTGACTGCCCCCTTCCTGGTCTCTTTCTACCTCTGGTCCCTTGCTGCTGATAAGATGTGTTCTAATTGCTGGCCTGGAGCTGGAGCCCATCAACTCGTCCAGTGGGATCAGTCCTGTGGCCTTGACTTTACGGCAGTGCCAGCCTGGGCAGTTTGTCCTGCGCACTGTGCCACAGGAGGCTGGTGAAGGAGCAGGAGGGGAGCATGGCATATTTTATTATGCTGCTGACAACGTTCTGTGAGGCTGCTCTGTCAGTCAGCTGCGTTCCTTAAAGCTGTGGCAGAAAACCAAGCCCGAAACCCAGGGCCTCCTAACAACGCAGGTGTAGTGGCCACCTTGTCACACGTCATCTGTGGTCAGCAGGGCGTGGCTCAGCTGCAGGCTAAGGACAGCCCTGTGTGGGATACCCTGTGCTCACAGAGGAAGCACTTGTGCTCCAGCAGAGTGGGCAGCGGCTCCTGAAGCTGGGCTCACACTGGCCACATCCCTTCTTCTTGGGCTCAGGCCAGGTTGCCCACTCAGGGACGGGGTGCCCCCACACTGCTCGCGTCTGGTGGACGAGGGTGATGAACAGGGATTTCCTGGGGACCTCCCTTCTCTTTATTCAAGAGCTCAGGAGATACTGGGAACCAAAGACCACTGAGGGCCATTTTGCAGACAAGTCAGGCAGGATCTGGTGTCCTGGGATGCGTGCTGTGCCATATCCTACGTCAGGTTGCCTGTAATGAGCCACTGAGCCGACACGCGTGTCTGAGGGCTTGGCTCTGGACACTGTGCCTGAGCGTTTCATGTTGAGAAGGAGCCACATGTGGAGCGGTGCGCAGTCACGGGTGTGTGGGCTCCACGTCCGGAAGGTGAGCCTCGTGCCCCCCTAGACTGCACACTCGTCCCCAAGGGCACCGTGGGTCAGGACATAACACACGTGGCATACACGGCGCCCTGCGCCCAGTTGCTTTTGCTCTAGCAAGTCTGGGAAACGCCTCGTTGCCATGATGGTCTTAGTGCTCTGCGTGCGCATGTTTCTGTGTAAGGTTAGTTGCTTTTCTTGTTCAACCCTGTGGCTGTAGTTTGTTTGGGTGAGTGTGCACGTGTGAGCGTATGAGTGTCATGCAAGGGTGTTGTGTGGGTATGCACATGTGAATTGTGTGCTTGTGCACACACATGTGCAGCCGCTCAAGGTTGGAGTCTGCGTTTTGTTCCCTGCTCCATCCCTGTGTGTAGAATGCACTGGCAGGTGGTAGTTGTGCCGTGCATGGTTGTTGACTGAATGGGTGTTGGGACAGAGCTTGCTGCGTGTCCCAGGGTCTCCCGTGGGAAGGCAGAGCGCTCGCTGGGCCGGGGCGGAGGGCAGGGGTGCAGGTGCTGTCTGTACTGGTCCCGCAGAGTTGACGGGCGCCGACCTGAAGGACTGCGTCAGCAACAACAGCCTGAGCAGCAATGCCAGCCTCCCCAGCGTGCAGAGCTGCCGGCGCCTGCGTGAGAGGAGGGTCGCCAGCTGGGCCGTGTCCTTCGAGCGCCTGCTGCAGGACCCCGTCGGTGTCCGCTACTTCTCTGTGAGTAGGGAAGAGCCAGGGCCAGCGGAGCAGTCTGTGCTCTGCAGAGACTACCGAGCAGGATCCACGGGCTGCCCTAGAGACAGCGGCACCCTGCGGGCTCTGAGCAGGCCCGTGGCAAGGGCCTCCCCTCCCTGGACCGCCACCCTCTCAAGAGCTCAGAGGAGGGTGGGTTGGATCCTGCCCCTGGTTCTGTCCCCAGGGAGAGTCCCTGGCCCTCCCGCGCTCCACTGGGGTCTCTGCAGCCTGCCGCACTGGAGCTTCCTATGTGCGTTGAGAAGCCAGGTGCCTGCTTTCAGCTCTTCAAAGAAATGTTCTGCTTTTGGGGAAAGAGCTGGAAGCGGCAGCGCGGTTCCCTAAAGTGCTGGGCAGCAATGAGCTTTCTCTCTCCAGGCCCTCGGGCAGCTCACTGAGCAGCCTATGACCCCATGGTTTCTGTAGAAGGGAAGTAAGAAAAAGGAGGACCGTGTGTCAATGTTAATAAATGGTATCTTTCTTAGGATTTTCTAAGGAAAGAATTCAGTGAAGAAAACATTTTATTCTGGCAGGCCTGTGAATATTTTAATCATGTTCCTGCACATGACAAAAAGGAGGTAAGTCTACATTCGGGAAGTGGGGGCTGTGAGAGGGCGTGGGTGAGAGGGCGACGTGTGTGAGGGCAGCGCGTGTGAGAGGGCGGTGTGTGTGTGAGGGCAGCGGGTGAGGGCGGGGCGTGTGTGTGAGGGTGGTGTGTGTGTGAGAGAGCCGTGTTGTGTGAGGGCGGCACGCGTGAGAGGGTGGTGCGCGTGAGGGGGTGGTGCGTGTGTATGAGGGTGGCGCGTGAGGGTGTTGTGCCTGTGTGAGGGCGGAGCGCATGTGTGAGGACGGCGCGTGTGAGAGGGCGGCACATGTGAGAGGGCGGCGCATGTGAGAGGGTGGTGCGTGTGAGAGGGCGGCACGTGTGAGAGGGCAGCACATGTGTGTGAGGGC